CACCCACGCCCTCAGCAGCTGGTCTGTTTTGGCTCAAGCCAAGCAATTGCCGCCCATTGCTGCCGGTCGGCTGTTTGCTGATCGCGAAAATCAGCAGCGCATTTTCCGAGCTCCAGACATTGTCTCGGTGCTTGTTCCAGCATTCCGCGATTGCGGGTCGACCGAAACGCCACAGCGACATCATCACGAGCCTGTGCAGTCTACTGTAGGTCTCTGCCCCTGAGAAGCGAAAGCTTTGTGTTGATAGTGGTGCAACAGGCCAGAAAGCGCAAACATCGTTACCCTCGCTGGAATACGCGACCCGCCAGATGATAAGGACTTGAGGTACCTTGGGGGCATTGACGCTCCCGATCCAGACTTAATAGTCTTTCAAGATGGCTTCCTCGTACGCTCTACCGACCTCCGCCATCCCTCAATATCACCATTCTCCCGGCCATATGCATGCGCACACCCACTCAGCGAACTCGCATGGCTCTTCGGGGTCACTGAGTTCCCTCCAGGGCTCGCGGAGTCGTCGCAACTCCAGGCCGCTTGGAGGACAGCCCCATAACCGTGGTAACTCACACGATCACGATCATTGCCACGATCATAGCCACGACCACTCGCATGACCACGATCACGACCACTCGCATGACTACGACGACAACCACGGACATGGACGAAGACATTCACCACCCAGGTCTAATAAACAGGCGGTTCTCTCCCCAGTCCTCGAATCGGGTGCGAACAATCACTGGCGAATGGATTCAACGGTTGGTGGGAAGCCGCTGGTCGTACCGGCCAATGGGGACTTTGGCGCGGCCGGTCTCTATCAACCACCGTCTGCTTCACAGACCCGTCCTCAACGTGCCGAACATGTCGAGCGGTCAAAGTTCACGACGTTCGTCCTGCCATATACAGAGAAGTGGCCGTTGATCCACGCGATCTTGATTGAAAAAGATTCCCGGAGGATATTCTACTTCATGACGTTGGTCTCCAAGTCGATACCTTCTGTAGCCCGCTGACGCGATCTTCCAGGCTTAATCTCGCATTCATGATTGTACAAGCGTTCTACGGGTATGTAACGGACTCGCTTGGCCTTCTCAGCGACAGTATACACATGTTCTTCGACTGCGTCGCTCTGGCGGTTGGTCTTTTTGCTGCCGTGGCGAGCAAATGGCCTCCCAGCGAGCGGTTTCCGTATGGCTTCGGCAAGATTGAAACCCTCAGCGGGTTTGCCAACGGCGTTTTCTTAATCTTAATCAGCGTCGAGATCATGTTCGAAGCCGTCGAGAGAATATTCGAGGGGAGAGAAACAAAGAGGCTGGGCGAGCTGTTCATCGTCAGCAGCCTCGGGCTGTTGGTGAACCTGGTCGGGATGATGGCATTTGGCCATCACCATCATGGTCACGGCCACTCACATGGTGAAGGCTCGTCTTGTGGCGGTCACAGCCACGGCCACTCGCATGCCCACGACCATGATCACGACCATCACGGACACAATCACGACCACGACCACGACCACGACCACGGCGAGAAGCATGGCCACTCTCACGGAGCGCATTCTCACTCGCACGGGCATTCCCATGGACACTCGCACTCCCATGACAACGAGAACATGTATGGTATCTACTTGCATGTCCTTGCTGATACCTTGGGAAGCGCGGCGGTCATCGCTTCGACAATCCTCACCCACTTCTGGAAGTGGTCCGGATGGGACCCCCTTGCCTCGTTCCTCATCGCCGTTCTGATCCTACTTTCGGCGCTTCCTCTCGTCAAGTCGTCAGCCACGAGGCTGCTGCTCACGATTCCGGCCGAGACCGAGTATAATCTGCGGGAGACGTTGCCAGGGGTCGCCGGGTTAAAAGGGGTAGTAGGCTACTCGGTGCCCAAGTTTTGGATCGACGACCGAAATGCCGGAGAGGGAGCGGAGCGGAACAAGTTGCTCGGAGTCATGCATGTGGTGGCAGCACGAGGAGCTGATATGGAGGACGTGCGGGATCGGGTCCGCAACTATCTGTATGAGCACGACATCGATATCACATTGCAAGTCGAGCGCGAGGGAGACCCATCGTGCTGGTGCGGAGTAGGACGAAGCCCACTTTCGCACGGACACAAGCCGACGCAGAGTACCAACATCTTCTAGGGAGAAGATGGGGAGTTAGTTTAGCACAGATGCAGGTCTGCATCCACGCTCCGACAGTCGGTCTTGGGCACTGGTTTGGTTACGACCGGGGTGGTTCAGCATTGGGAACGGCAGAGGGACGTTGGGAGAGGTCTCATGTTTGGCTTGTTGGCTTGCATACTTTTGGGTGGAGGAGCATGTGGCCGGGCTGGTTCGATGTACAGATACAAGAGAGTGTGTCTAAACTTTGCTAGGTATCTTTGTATAGAAGTAGAGATACCCTCTGCGTCTCGTGTGCCGCTACAAGTCACAGGCTGGCCGAGCTTATGCAACCTTGTGTTGTTTGGTTGCGAAGCTGGGGTTAGCGGGCCGCGGAGAGGCCCAAAAGCCGCCCCGCTCCCGTCCTCCCAGTTCCCTTAGCCCTAATGCCTCATTGCATCACATGCAAATCCCCCAACGTGGGGGCTTGGCACCCGCCGGTACGTACCTGGCGGTCGAGAATCAGATGGGCTCGGCCGACGTTATGACCCTGCATCAATTGGCTGAAGAAACAGCTTGCCATTCGCGCCGTGACCTCAGCCATCCGTCTGTCCGGCGCGGGTGGCTGCGTCTTTTTAACCTGCAATTGGGCCATTTTGCTGCGAGCGCGATCTCGTGTGCCCCTCGATCGTGACTTGTCTGTCGGCCGAGGGAGAACAACTCCCGGGGTCCATGTCGACAATGCCCCACGGAACAGCGACCGAGGGGCCGAGGGATGGCTGGAGACATGGTGGCTGACCATTGCGGCGAGCGCATAGCAGCGGATGTACAGAGCCATTTCAAGGGTCCGTCAGTCCAACGCCGCTGGACTGTCTGCCGTTGGCGATGGGCAAGCGAGCGACGCGGGGCATCCCACTCTCCTTTTTGCCGAGGTTCTGGGCCGTGACGTGCGTGGCTGATACTGATAACCGCAGCAACGGAGCTTTCCAAACGCCCGTTTGTTCGTCCCTTTTGTCCCTCCATTCTCTCAAAGCGCTCTCTGCGTCCCATACTCTCTATTTAGTACACATTTGTTGTCTTGCATACGGCGCAATTGACTTTGTGGACGCGCATTTTCAGGCCGAAACAGCAGAGCGAATTTCTGGGGCGGATCCGGGCTCCTTTTTTGCGATAACCAACATCATTGTTCCTCGCGCGCTGTGGAGAGAACTGGGGATCCCTTTCTTTCCAAAAAGGACCGGAACGGGGAGTCATTTAAAAGCGCACGCGACAAGAAAGGGGGGAAATCAGGGGCTTGTCTGGCCGTGTCTGGCTTTTGAGGCCATCGAAACTCTAACCGCGCCGTTTCGGAGCTCCGCGCTGAGACATTGAATACCGACCGACCGAGTGTGCGCGCGCTCGTCTCTATAACCACCGCTCTCTATTTTTTTTCCCGTCAATCAGGGACAGCGCTCTTTCTCTCTCTCTCCTTTGCGACAGTTTAGACCGAAACCACCACAGCCATGTCCAGCACCAGCTCCTCGCCGTCCGAGACGGCCGGCGCGGTTATCAACACCAAGCTTCACGAGAAACTGCCCGCCGCCGTGGCCGACAAGCTCCCGCACATTCCCGAGTCCAAGGCCGAGATCAAGGAGGAGGCCAAGGCGGCCGTCTCCACGGGCATGGCCCAGGTGCGCTCGTTTGTCGCGGGCGGGTTCGGCGGTGTCTGCGCCGTTGTCGTCGGCCACCCGTTCGACCTGGTCAAGGTGCGCCTCCAGACGGCCGAAAAGGGCGTCTACTCCTCCGCCATCGATGTCGTCCGCAAGAGCGTCGCAAAGGACGGTCTCCGAAGGGGTCTCTACGCCGGTGTCTCGGCTCCCTTGGTTGGTGTAACGCCCATGTGTAAGTTTTCTGTCACATCCCCTTTTCCCTCGTGGATTCTAATGGACCTTCAGTCGCCGTCTCCTTCTGGGGCTACGACCTCGGCAAAACCCTCGTCCGCAACTTCTCCACCGTCTCCGCCGACGGCTCCCTCTCCATCGCCCAAATCTCAGCAGCAGGCTTCTTCTCCGCCATTCCCATGACAGCCATCACGGCGCCCTTTGAGCGCGTCAAAGTCATCCTCCAAGTCCAAGGCCAGAAGACCCTCGCGCCGGGCGAAAAGCCAAAATACAACGGCGGCCTCGACGTCGTCCGCCAGCTCTACAAGGAAGGTGGCGTGCGCTCTGTCTTCCGCGGATCGGCCGCCACCCTGGCGCGTGATGGACCTGGTAGTGCTGCGTACTTTGCCGCGTACGAGTATATCAAGAAGAAGCTGACACCGCGGGATCCGGTCACCGGCGAGGCTAGCGGGAAGCTCAGTCTGACGGCTATTACCTGTGCTGGTGCTGGTGCGGGCGTTGCTATGTGGATTCCGGTTTTCCCGATTGATACCGTCAAGTCGAGGCTGCAGACGGCCGAGGGGAATGTCACGATTAGCGGGGTTGTTAAGGGGCTGTATAGGGCTGGCGGGTACAAGGCTTTCTTCCCTGGGTTTGGGCCTGCGTTGGCGAGAGCGGTGCCGGCGAATGCGGCGACGTTTTTGGGGGTTGAGCTGGCGCATCAGGCTATGAATAAGGTGTTTTAGGGGCGTTGATGAAGAGGGCGGGGGGTAGAGGTGATATATACGTCTTGGGTATTTGGTGTTGGGTGTTTGTTAGAAGCGTTGCGGACTGGAATGGATTTACTCTGCCAAGTCATTGTGTGAACCGGGTGATTTGAAGGGGCTATGTCTCTGCAATCTTGAAATTTGTGCCAGATACAAGGTATGTCAGGTATGTGAGGCCAAACGTTGAGCTCTTTCTCGCTGACCTACTACCCGTGTAGGATGTTTAAAGGAGCCCGAAGCTGTATGAGGCTCAGGGACAAAAAGATCTCGAAATGCCTCGGGAGGCTTCTATGCCCAATAACAGGATTGAACTGTTGACCTTCGCATACCTGGTAATCCGTGAATATTATTAGTACGACGCTCTAACCAGCTGAGCTAATCGGGCTTGTGTTACTTGTTGAAGGGTTGTTGGAAATTTCTTTCTATGTGGTGGATAGGGGGTGGGGTTGTTTTGCCCAAGGTTGGGATGAAGCTTGTTGGATGTGGGTTCGTGATAGCCGATGCCGGTGTTCCGGTTGCGGGGGATAATAACCCTTGAGAGAAGCTTCTTCACCCAAGACCGGAACCAAAGCTCCGGAAACGTGAAGCTCATCGACGTTGCATCTTGCAACAAACAAGACTAATCTCCTCTCAACACCGACGACGAGGTTTGGAAACGAGGTTTAGAAATGAAACATTCACTGCGGAGAGTTGCTTCGGCTCCGCTAACCTGTCCAATGGTAGCCGGTTTTGACGCGCGAGTGCCCGGAATAGACACAGCTAGCGAAACTGTATAACAGGGCGTGCGGCGCAGCAAGCGGGTGGTTACCGAGCCCGGTACGCTTGTACGCAGCGTCCAATGAGGTAAAGGGGGTGGTATATTAGCCATATTATGGACGACCTCAACATCGAGGCTTGGCACAGGATGTTACTCTGATATATTGTGATCGCGTGCCGGTGATGGCTTTGGGACCGGAAGTTCAAGATGAAGAGGGGCAACGTTGATACTGGGCATGGCCTGCGAGAGGGGTATAAGTGAGTACCATCTGGACGACGTTGGAGTGCTGCAGAGATATCATCACTTACACATCAAACCCACAATGAAGTTGCTCCTCTCTCTTCTTCCCCTGGCTCTGGCAGTCCCAGACCTGCATGCCCTCCGTGCCCGCGATGAAGCCATCCACGGTTTCGAGGAGCGCTTCCTCGACACCATGAGCTACACCCACCCCAACCACACGGTCAAGCTCATCGGCTTCAAGAAGATCCTCATGAGCGGCGGCGAACTCGCCAACCTTGAACACGCCATTGCTACCCGTCCTGCCGAGTGGGATGCCATCACCTCCGCCCACTACGACCCTGTCGAGCGTGCCATGCGCGTCTACTTCCCTGTGCAAAACGCCCTCGTTCTGCACCAGGGCTCCCTCATCGAAGCCAACGAGCTCGGGGAGTTCCCGCACGAGCACATCGACGGTGACTGTGCTGTCATCGGCCGGTACCAGACCGACGAGGTCCGTGGCGTCGATGGCAACAGGATCGAAGATGGCATCATCCATCTTGCTGAGCCCAGCCCAGCGATCAGGAAGCACGGGAGCGTGCATGTGTATGACTTTGGATGGAGGCACGGAAGCCATCACCACGAGCATGGTGTGGGACTGAAGCCGAGGAAGGATGGGGACGGGGGCAGTTGCTATCAGAATCATGGAAACAAGGTGTGCTCTGTCGTGTACAAGATTGACGAAGGACGGTGTACGAGGCCCAAGGCTCCGATCAAGAGCTGCATCGACTACAATGGGTGGCCGCACAAGAATTGTAACAATCACAGCGACAAGCTGGCGTTTCCTTTGAGCGATTGCTTCATTTCTGTGGCGAGGGGTCACTGCTGGAATGAGCTGGAGAGGGCGCTCTGAGCGTTGGAGATACCCTATCTGGTAGAGTTGAATGCTATTTTGATGCATTGTCTGGTTGCCGAGGAAGAGTGTTTAGTGCTGGCGTCGTTCCCAGAACCCCGCGCTTGGCCCCGACGAAGTTACTCGCACCTTCCTTGCGTTGTCCCAAAAACCGGGTTGCCGGGGTCGTTCGGTTTGGCGTCATCGCAAGGACCTTGATGGGACGGAACGGGTAGTGTACCCAACCCACAAGCAAACAACACACACAAACGCTGCCCTCGAAATTCATTCCTCCATCAACCAAACAAACAACGAGTGAATCAACAATCTGGAATCCCGTTCGGACGACTCGGTACCGTAAGAAAATCCCAGAGTTGTGGGCAGGTGCTTTCTCAACCACGACCCCACCCCGACACTTAAATAAACTTTCTTCTTCCACAGCACTGCGACGCGTCTACGACGACGAAGACGCGCTTCTTCTTCTTCTTTGCACCTGCATCTGCAACTAACTGCTATTCCTTCGCTTGTTTCTAATCTGTCTAACTGGTTCCGTGTGGTCGATCTGTTTTTTTTCTGCGCCCGTCGGGGTTGCTGTTTGACACATCACTTCCCGTTACAGTCGCCCTTATTCGGGCCAAGCAGTCATGGCGTCCATCAAGAACGAGGTCAAGGATGAGTTCCCGGATCACGGACTCCAACTCGACCAGGTCCCCGAGCAAGTCAACGAGCAACAACCCGTGCAGGAGCCTGAGCAAGAGGCTGGCCAAGTCCTGGATAAAACCAAGAAATTGCAAGAGCTTCTTTCTCAGAATGCACCCGACGTCAATATCCTGGAAGACGCAGTTTCACGGTCGCTCAAGGCCCTCGATAGCCTCAAAGTGCCTCTCGAGTTTTGCGCTGACCAATTCAACACACAAGCACCCCAATGGCTCAAGTCTATCACCGAGCTCCAGAGCCAATCAAAGCCCACGTGCACCATCGTTGGTGTGGTGGGAAACACCGGAGCCGGAAAGTCTTCGGTCATTTCGGCAGTGCTTGACGAAGAACGTCTCTTACCCACCAACTGCATGGTACGTCTAGTGCATGTTTGTCACCGCGCGTTCACTTACATCTTCACAGAGAGCATGCACCGCGTCGCCTACCGAGATCTCATACAACCACTCAGACAATCCCAATGAGCTCTATCGGGCCGAAGTCGAATTTATCACTAGCGATGACTGGATTAAGGAGCTCGAGGGCCTCTTCGTCGACCTCTTGGACGGTAATGGCGGGGTCTCTCGCGACTGTTCCATCCCTGACAGCGATTGCGGCGTGGCGTATGCCAAGATCAAGGCCGTTTACCCCCGAAAGACCAAGGAGATGATCGCCAACTCTACCCCCGACGGTATGGCTAACGAGGCTGCTGTGCGCTCAGTCCTCGGTACCACTCGCAAGCTCAGGGCAACCACGGCCGCAAGCCTCTACCGTCAGCTCCAGGAGTACGTCGACAGCAAGGAGAAGAACACGGAAAAGACGATTGAGTACTGGCCGCTCATCAAGGTGGTCCGCATCTACACCAAGGCTGCTGCTCTGTCAACTGGCGCCTGTCTCGTTGATCTTCCTGGTGTTCAAGACTCCAACGCCGCCAGAGCTGCTGTTGCTGCCAACTACATGAAGGCGTGCACAGGCTTGTGGATTGTTGCGCCCATCACCCGAGCGGTCGATGACAAGACAGCCAAGTCCTTGCTGGGCGATTCGTTCAGGCGCCAGCTCAAATACGACGGAATTTACTCGGCCGTTACCTTCATTTGTTCCAAGACGGACGACATTTCAGTCACTGAAGCCGCCGAGAGTCTTGACATCGAAGAGGAGATTTCCGAATCGTGGTCTCAGATCCAGCAGAACGATGTCAAGATCAGACAGATCAAGAAGGACATCGCCGAGCTAAAGGACGAGAAGGAGGCCATTGAAGATATCCTTGAGGCCAACGACAAGGCCTGGGACAAGTGGGACGAGCTCCTCAAACAGGCGGCCGACGGCGAAACTGTGTATGCGCCGAGCGAGAGTAGCCCGAGTACCAAGAAGCGCAAACGTCGAGCGAAGCCGTTTGGCAGCCGCAAAAACCGCAAATCTGCCGATTCGGATTCGGATTCAGATATGTCGGACTCGGATGCCTCTGACAGCGACAAGGAGAACTCGCAGCCGCAGGATGAGAACCGACAACCCTTGGCCGAGGATGAGATCGAGGCTAAACTTGCGGACCTCAAGGCGGAGAAGAAGGAGATGCGTGCCCACAAGACGCAGATCAGCGAGAAGACGAAGAGGCTGCGCAATGACATTAAGGAAGTCCAGGTCGAGAATAAAGTTCTGCAGGCCGAGGTCAAAGCTGTCTGCATCAAGGGTCGCAATCAGTATTCTCGACGGGCCATCAAACATGACTTTGCCATGGGCATCAAGGAGTCTGTCAGCGCCAATGTGTTGGTGATATCTGCTAACGTGTGTTAGGCTTGACCAAGAGACGGCGGCCGAACAAGACGAGGAGAACTTCAACCCTGACGCCGACCTCCGTGATTACGACCAGGTTGCCGAGTCGTTGCCTGTGTTCTGTGTCAGTAGTCGCGCCTTCCAAAAGCTCAGCGGCCGCCTTGAGAAAGACCACTTTGACAGCTCCGGATTTCTCACCACTGATGACACAGAGATCCCTCAACTGCAGGAGCATGCACGGAAGCTCACGGTACAAGGCAGGATGGCGAACTGTCGCCGGTTCCTCGTCGAATTCGTGCAGCTCATCACCAGCATGACCCTGTGGGCGACCAACGATGGCACCAAGTCGAATCTCACCGACAAGGAGAAGCGCGCCGAGGAGTCCAATCTGCGCCATGAGCTGGCCGGGATTGACCAGAAACTGGAGGGTACAGTGACGGCGTGTATCGAGGATATCCAAAGCGCACTCGGGGAGGATATCTATGAGCTGTTCGAGACAAACATCAAGAAAGCGATTGCCGAAGCCGTGCCGACCGCGACCGGTTGGGGTGCCCCTCGTGCCGCTGGTGGACTGTATTGGGCGACATACAAGGCCCTGTGCCGCAGGCAAGGCGTATACAGCAGCGGAAGCGCAGGTCCCCGAGACATGAACGCCGAGCTCTTCGAGCCTATCGCAAAGCACCTCGCCTCTGGTTGGGAAAGGGCGTTTCAGCGAAGCGTCATGGGTTGCCTCGAGAGCTTTGCGCGCGCGACTAAGATGGCGATCGAGTCGTTCCACCGGGAAGCGACAAAGCGCACCGCGGAACGGGGCACCAATTTCCCTGGCCTGAACATGCTCAACCAACAGCTTCGCGGACACCTGCAGCGCGTGTCGGATTTGCCTGGCTTGATGCGCACTATTGTGCAGGACTGCCAGCGCGACGCCAACCGCAACTTTACGCCGGTCATCCAGCAGAAGATGGCCGATGCGTATCAGAAATGTAAGTTCTCTTTCCGCCTCTTGCTGAAGTGATCTGATCTAACAACGATACCAGGCGTCGACGAGAGAGGCATAGGC